TAAATTTTACCTGTAGATGAGGCAGAGAATAATAAATGCCATGTAACTGGATTATGGTAATTCTGGTAGTTTTCAAATTATATTAACTATCTGTAATTAATGTTACTCAAAAAATGCCCTATTATGTTTAATTTTAATATTTAAAAAAAAGACAGCATGAGGAAATGACATTCAGAACAAACACAAAAGCTTTTTAGGCAAATGTGAGGTGGCGCCTATTCTTTAGTATTGACCAAAAACATGGGACTATGTTGTCAGCAGAGAAGATGGAAAACTCAGTAGTGTTAGCTAAATTTTAAACTGTCTTCTGATTCTAGTCTTTTATTGTTTTAAATCCATTATAGTCTAGATTGCTGTTTATTTCTAGTATCTTCAGTTACAACTGATTTTCTTTTGTCATTGTTAATGGAATCTTTTCATGGCCGGTCCTTTTAAAAAGCAAAATAAAAATGAAGCAAACCTTTTTGTTGTTGTCTTATGGACAATTTTAGAGAATATAAATACCTAATAATAGTTAACAATTGTTTGGTACTTACTACAGTGTTCTAGGCATTGTTCTAAGCACTTTACGTTTAATTAATACATTTCATCCTCAGAACTACTATGAGTTAGGTGCTCTTACTGTCCCCTTTTTACCAATGGAAATTGAGGCACACAGTGGCCCACCAACCCGAGGTCACACACACAAGCTCAACTTGGAAGCATGTAAATATGCTTTGAATATAATTTGAAAGGAATCTTTAACAGAAAAAGCTAACACTGAATGTATTTTGCTGCTGCCTTTCTGATCCTTATTTAAGTAATTTCAGGAAGTGACAATGATGCCAACCATTTGGTTAACTATTATGTGGTGGCTAAACCTAAACATAGAAAATTTGGTCAATGCAGTTTTCATTTTATAGTCAGATAGCTATTTTAGGAACCTGCTGCTGGAAAGGGTATCCCTGCAACAGCAGATCCCTTAGTTCCTAATGAACAGCTACACCACCAACACTGCCTCTGATCAGGCGAGGGCCATAAGCAGGGGAATCCAGCCAGCTTATTAACCCTTCTTTGTTTTCTTTCCAGCTAGCCACAGTGCAGCCTGGCCAGAATTTCCACATGTTCACAAAGGAAGAACTTGAAGAGGTTATCAAGGACATTTAAGGAAGTGTGATCCTCAGAACTTCTCTGGGACAATTTCAGTTCTCCTAATTGCCCTTAACTTTTACTTCAAGCTCCTATTCCTTTGAAAATCCAGTATATGTGCATTTTTTTATGATGTCTGTACATAAAGGCAATTCTGAAATAAAGAAAAGTTAAAAATATTTGTTAATATTCTCTTCTTATGCAGTCTTCTTTCAAAGGCAAAAAGGATGGTGGTATATTAATGTCCATATCCTATCAGAGTATCTGTTCTAAACCTGTTTTAGTGGCTCTCTACAATAGAATCAATTATATCATGAATCTCCTGGTATTCAAAAATGAACTCAAACTAGTCCAGCTCCTTCCAGTGGTTTGTAGATATTAATACCACCGTAAACCCATTTCAGTCCTATAGTTTCTCTTAAGTAGGTACTTTTACTGCTTTCCCTGTATGAAGGAGGTGCTATTAAATGACCATCAAAAGAACATGTTTTGAGGTCCTCCAAACACTGATGGGTTAGAGTAAGCCAATAACAATGTTGTACCAATTCTTGTGTCCTAATAGACAACTTGGAAAGAGATTTTCCTTTTTATGAAGTTAATGACTATAAAAGAATTCATTATCTTGGCCTCACAAGCAATTGATTACAAATCAGAATGGTATTTCAGAAGTAGTTTACATTAGACTTTGGAATGTGTTATGAGCTTCCCCCATTAGAGCTGCCTGCCATCATATGACTGGGGTGAGATTATTTAAAGAATCATTCTAGTGGAGCCTCAAAAAATGACTATACAAAGTAGGTGTCATATTTAACGATAAAGAATCCATACCTGTGTGACTGGACACAGAAAATTAAGCTGTTGGGACTTGAACTCAGATTTCTGGTTTTAAGTCAACTCTGATTTTCCGATGCCAGGTGCCTTGAAGTCTAAATACCTGAGTAATAGGGAAATGTTGAGATTTGAAATGTCCTTGGACTAAGCACAACATGGATGGCTAGCCCATATGTAGTAAGAATTGGTTGTGTTTTTGTAGGAACTTGTACTCTGATGTCAAAATCAATTCTGATTATTTGCATAGCCTGAATTCATAGTCATACTGTAATTCCAGCAAAAAACAACTTGCACTTACATTTGGAAGCTGTAATGATGAGAAGCATTTGGGAGAAATTTTGTCCTAGACATACACATTAGGAAAATGGTACTAGAGTATATCATAACCAATGTTCTGGAGACTAGTGATTTTAGCCCTATTATTAAATGTAACATGATGGTCATGAGATTAATTTCTCTCATGTTTACCTTTTATCAAATCCTAATAGAAGATGCCAGTGAGAAATCCTATCTCAACAATTCATTCAAATTTAATAAATTTATTGCCTATCTACCATATGCCAAGTAATGTACTAGGCACTGGGGATTGAGCTGTGAAAATAGTAGATAACGGTCTGTGTTTCCATGAAGCTTCCAGTGGAGAGAACTACACATAAATATTCCCTTTAAATTCAGTGTAGCCTAATGCAGAAATGGGCAACACATGCTGCTTTAAGGGAGAGGTAAGTGTGTCTGAGTCGTGTATTATGTAGGGAAAACAAAGAATAGCTCTTAACATCTATCAGCTTCAGCTTAGTCTTTTCCCTCCCACTACCTGCACAGTGTATTAGTACCTTAGGCTACAACTGCTGAAACAGTTAATTTCATAGCTCTATAATTCTAATTTAGAATTATTGAAAGGATAGAATTAAAGCATTCTTGAAAGAGAACTTCAGTTTTCCATAGAATTTTAAAACTCTACAAGGTTCCTTGTATCCGATTTAAATAGAATCAGAGAAATGACCTTAGGAGAAAAAGCAATAGTTCTGTGATGTGTACTGTGTTGTAGTCATCTTTATGCTACCGAATTTTATCTTGGAGAAGAGTATGGGTTTTAGTAATAAGTTTACATATTCCAGTCTTGTAAGTAAGGTAGAATCTTATGTGCAGTATTTCACAAATGATCTGACAGTGCTTTTACATTTAATGCTTGTGTTATTAGATGAAAGTAAAACTAAATTTATTCAAACATTTTCTCAGTGCCATATGCAAGGTACCATGTCCCCAGCAGCAATGCAGTTCAAGGGATGAAGTGTATGTTCTGTGAGATAATGATAAAAGCAACATATGAAAAAGTTAAGTTGCAAAAATAAGTTTAAAGATGCATTCAGTAATTTCTCCAGGAGATGGCACTGTTGAGTTGTCTTTCTTTTCAGACAGTAAGACAATAGACCATTCATCTTTGTGTCACCCAAACAAAGAAATATGCCTGTATAGCCCTTCTCCCCGCTACCCCGCAATCACATGCTACTAGAACTGACTGTCTTGTGATTTGCTCCATAGTTGGCTTAGATTAAAAAGTATCAGCACTTTGAGAAATAATATGACACACCTGGGTAGTTAATAGAATGGAAAGGAACAAATTGTTCACCAGTTTTCATGGAGCTTTATGTTATTTTAGTAGCTGAGAACTTGAAGACTAGTGATTTTGCCATACTGCTTAGATGCCATTTAAGAACATTTTTCACTTCTCACATTTTACTATGGTTGTTCTGAAAAAATGTGAATTTGTAAATTTGCAAATTAATGTGATGAGGATTTTAATGTAAAGAGCGGGTTGGGTGCACTGCACCATTTTGCTCTACAGTGAATATACTGTATTCTTCGGGTTTATCGCCAGTTCATAAAGTGCCATGATCTGCACCTTAACTTTTTCATATATTGCTTTTATTTATCATTATCTTAACAGAACATACACTTAAAAGTAATTTTTAGTTGTTTTCTTTATGTGGGTGTAATAGTTTTGCATACTATTTGTTACCTTTTCTACTGAATAACTTCTAGTATTTGAAAGGACAGAGTCAGTAAGGTTAAGATCCAGAACTGGTTTTACCTGCGCTGCATGTACTAGAAATTGTGTGTGCAGTTTCTGCGATAAAGGGTACAGCGTAGGGGTTTGGTTTTGTTTACTGGAGGTGGGGTGCCAATTTAGGGGACATCGTACACTGAATACCAAACTTGAGCAATGCACTCACTCACTGCAGCTAAGGCACTTCGATAAAGATAAATATGCATCGATGAAAAGATCATGTCTAAAGTAGGTATTAGGCAATTCTCTGACCACCTTTTACGTGCCCCTAATGTCTAAGCTACTTTCTAACTCCAGAAAAACCAATAAGCAATTGCACCTTTGGCCTAACTCCCTTCAGAAGTAGGTGAGTGAGGCCAAACGTGTAGGAGAGACTTCAAGCTTGCTTGAGTCACGGATGTCCTGATGTCTGTCTGCCTTCCTAGGATTTAGCCCACACAGTTAGCATTCACCTTTTTGGCAGCAAGGCGGCTGCCTCCGTAGACTGTGGGCGCTCCTGTGCGCTGGAGTTAAAAACCCGACGCACCGGTTCATGACGAAGCCCCCTTTTCCAGTAGAGCGAGTTCAGGGATTCCCTGAGGAGATTTTCCAGGCGCTGCCGCAACCCAAGGAATTTCAGGGGTGTCTTTGGAGTAAAGAAGGTGACAAATCCATCCAACTTGAGGATGTCAGAAGGAGCAGTGAGGGCTCGGGGCGCCACAGAGCCGAGAGGCTTCGTGGGAAAGGGCGGAGAGATCCTATGCTAACTCTGGAAGCCCGGCCTAGAGTCGCTGGGCGAGGGGGGGATGACCTCAGCCGCCTCTTCCACGTTCCAGCCAATCAGTCCCGCATCTTGGCATCCGAATCCAGGACCCTCGAAGCCGGAGGCGACGCGAGCCAATGAGGAGTGGGCCTGGGAAGAAGGACAGGCGATCAGCCTATGGGGGCGGAGAGGCCCGGCTGCGCGTATCCAAGGAGCGCCCGACTCGGGCTCGGGGGTGTGGCGCGGCGCCGGTGGGGGTGGGCGGGCGCGCCAGGCGGCAGGTGTCGGCGGCATCGGCATTCGGCGGCGATGGAGCGGCCCCGGGGAGCTGCGGACTGCCTCTCGTGCTGGCCCCACGGCCTCGGCCTCGGCCTTCTCCTCTTCCAGCTGCTGTGGCCGGCGACCCTTGGCCAGGACCGGCTGGACTCGCCGCCGCCGCCCGCGGCGCCGCTGTCGCGCTGGTCCGGCCCCGTCGGGGTGAGGTGGGGGCTGCGCGCGGCCGCGCCCGGGGGCCCATTTCTCCCCGGCGGCCGTTGGCGCCGCAGCGCGCCCGCCGAGGACGAGGACTGCGGCCGGGTCCGGGACTTCGTCTCCAGGCTGGCCAACAACACGCACCAGGTGAGCGGGCGCCGGGCCGGGCGCCGCCGGGACTGCGAAGTGCCGCCCCGAGCCGCTCCCGCAGCCGGCCCCACTTTCTCTGTCCGCGCGCCCCGCGTCTCCGCGGAGGAGATCGACCGCTCCCCCGCCCCGCAGCGTCCGCAGCTCCCGGGCCGCGGCCTCGAAACCGTGGCGGGCGGAGTCCGGCCTGGGGAGCGGCCCCCGGACGCTGCGGCCCGCGCGGCTGTTTCGTCACTGGGGAGACAGTCCTCAGAGTTTCACGGCATTCCTTTTTTTTTTTTCAAGTTGTCAAAATGGCTTGAGCATCGTTGTTAAACATCTGTATAAATAATCAGGGTACAGTAAAGCTGTACCCCTAAGAGCTGAGGGATAATTACCTCGTAAGTGCTTGGAGAAGTTGGGCTGCGCAGATGCAAAGGTGTCTTCTCTGGGTCAGTACTTTCAGGGTGCGTAGGAGATCCCAAAGCAGTTGTTAGGTGACCGTATGTATTTTAATAGTTAAAGGGAACAAGCTTGGAAATGAGATGACAGCATAAATGTGATCTCTCATACGCCTTCAATTTGACCTGTCGCGGCATCGGACTCCGACCAGAATGTCTATCCTGTTGTAATAAGGTTTAAAACAGTTAAGAAATACGTTGCGGATATTCTGCACTGAGCTAGATCCTAGTCGAAAACTTAAAAAATTGTGGCGGTTTTGTCCCTGGGGCAAGCAGCTCAACCTTTCTGCACACTACTGGATTGACAAAGCCAGTTGTTAGGAATGCCCTGGATCCTTGCTTCAGTGCAACTTGGTCATCTTACTCATGGTTTTCCAGAACTAACAATTTAGTTGTTGCTACCCACATTTATAAAATGTATTTTCAATTTGTTTTCTCCCTTATGATCCTTCCCCTTTCCTAGAAGAGTTGCACACCGAATCAGAGATAAGTGTCCAAGGCAGTTGCCCTAGTATGACCATATTCCATATTAGTGGAATCTCAGTCTCGACATGAACTGTCTTTCTCCCTTTGCCTGGACTGTAATTGTTACCTGTGCAAAATTCTCAGATCTGGGGACTCAGGGTCATTGCAGTCAAGGCACAAGCAGTCAGTGATAACTCTGTTTAATGTGGTCCAAGCAGCAGCTGCATAAAGGTAGCCAAGCTATAGTGCTGATGGCTGGGACGGGCTGGGTGCAGATAGAAGGGAGTGAGTGCTGGGAGTTCTTCCTATTTGATGAGGAAAAAAAAATCGTGTAGCCTTCCATCTCACAGTGGGGAGTTGAGAAAGCCTTTACAACACTGATGCTTAATTTAAATGGGTCCACTTCCTTCCTTGAGCCAGCTGGACATAGCATTCTTACTTCTTATTTCAGATTCTTCTCTTGCTGGTTGGTCTACCTTTAGGACCTACTGCTACTCCTAGATTTATTCCTTTACTCAGTCTTCGCTGGTTGGTTTGACCTGAAATGTCATTTATAATACATTGATTTGTAAAGCAAGAGGTTGAAAAAATTGGCTTTGGGGGTTCTAAGGCCAAATCTACTCAAGAGCAGATCTGAAACCTCATTCTTTGAAGTTCTTATGTAAAGAAATTTTCCTCTATTTCTTTGACTTTTATTTAGCTGGTTCCAGTGATTTTTTTTTTACCTTTTTTTTTTCCAGTCTTCTTTCAGTGACCTAATTTTAAATAGCTATATTTACATTTGTTAATCATCCATGGTTTCTTCTTCAGAGATCCCATCCTCTTTGCAACATGTATATGGCAAAAGTGGAGCCATTATTAATAATATTCACCTTAGAAATGATCTAGTCATACTAAATCATCCTGAATTGTATTGAAGAGATCTAGTATTTTGGGACCCTTTATAAATGGTGTGAAATGAAAGTATCAGCATGTCAGAACAACTTCTTATTAGATGTTGTATACTTTTGTACATCTGGGAAAGCACTATTTAGAATAGTCATTCATAAGATGACAAGTTTTAATTCCCTCCCCCAAAAAAGTTCTTGATTCTCTTGCCATTTGTTATAACTTGCTGTTCATATTAATTCACTTGGTCAATGCAAGTGAACACTTTCCAAATGTCCAAGATGTACTAGATGTTGGAGGTGCCAAGATACAAAGGTAACTCAGAATGGAGAATGAAAAGCCTCAAGTTTCAGCAAATCTCAACCTGTTTCTATGGCTTTTTTGGCTTGTGAGAATATACTGGCATTGAACTTATCTTCTCAAGAAAGCAAAGTAGAACTAAAGCATGATAGTGCTTTTATAGCCCAGTTTTAGGAGACCTGTGCCTTACTGACATATAACTCAGGCTTCTTCATTCATGTAATCCAACAAGTGTGTATGTGTAGTTTAAATGCTTTTTTCTTTGACTCAGTAAGTAACCCTCCTTATGCCTTTAACCCAAAACTGTTTTCATGTTGTGCTTTTAACTGATTCTTTCCTTTAAGTGCTTGGAGTGTTCATGACATGTATAATCTTTGCACATGACAGAAATTGAGCAAGCCTAGAAGATTTCATTAATGTTGGTTGCTAAATTGGATTACTTCAAAACATTCCTCCTATAAGCACCCCTTTGAGGTTAAGCATGAAACTCTGTCTTAAAGAAACAGATGAAATGCCTTGGCCAGAGTTATGGTGGTGGCTGACATAATTTCCTTACTTCCCATTCCTGTGTTCAGACCATTTGACAATTTCCTTAAAACTTTTAAAACTTAGGATTAATAAAACCAGGAACAGTTGCTTATTCTCTGTCCTCCCTTTGCTCCTGTCATTAACTACTTCTTTACACATAACTTCCCAACTTCTACCCCAACATCAAAGCATCTGGTTTCTTAAATAAATAGGCTCTGTAGAGAGGCTGTGTTGTATGGAGTGTCAGCTCTGAGAAGAATGTGTGTGTTTGTTTGCTGGTGCTGGCAGGGCTGAGTGCAGGCTGACAGAACTGAATGTGCCTGTTAGAGGCTTTGGGGAGCTGCCGCTCTTAGCCTGTTGTGGATCTTTGTCACACCCGGAAATCTGAAGGTCAGTGCCTTTAGTTCCCCTGGAACTTTCTAACTGCCTCATTTATTCCAATACTTCACCTCTCTTCATACTACCTTCCCCAGCACTCCCCCCTCACCCTCTCATTAATCTCTTGAGCCGTATTTCACCCATTCATTTTGGGGTCAAGGAACAGGAAATCTGTAGGATCTCCTTTTGGTCCTGGTTGAGCAGAATAAGCAAAATCCTCACGCATATTCTATTTCTGTGCAGTATACTAATCAGACCTTCAACCCCTAAGGGGTATTAAAATGACCTATGCATTAGGGATTTCAGTTAGAAGCATCAGCTGATATGAAGTATGTTTATCTGGGGAAAGATTAAGTGTTCATCCAAGGTTTGGTTGGGGTGAGGGCAGAAAGCTAATCAAGTAGGACAAATGTTTAAGGGAATGCAGTGTAACAAATAGGTAAGTTCTTTACTCACTCACGTATTTGTCTTTGTGGTGATTTTTAACTAAAATCTGAGTCTCCTGTTTGTGGCATAATTGGAAGAAGGTTTATGGTCAATTTCTGATGGCCGTCTGAGTAATGATTACAATGATAATACGCTCTCCATCCTGGTGTTTTGATCTGACCTTTCATGCCAGGTTTACTGAGGCCATTAACAGCTTGTGCACTCTGCTGATTTCTAATTGGCTCTTGCCAAAAAGCACTGAATTGTCAGTGGGGTAACTGCAGAGATTGTGCTCCCCAACGTTGTCCTAGTTGGCTTATTGTGTGGGCCTCACATGAAGGGCAATGCTTAACACTGAGTTGTAGTGGTCAGAAAAGAGAGTAATATTTCCTCTTTTCTCTCCCTTCCTACCCATCCCTACTCCTCAAATTCTGTCTTTATAGAAAGAAAACTGTTTTGAGAATGGAGAAATGATACTCAGATGTTTTATATGATTGGACGCTAATTTTAGGGTAGATAAAATCATAACATTTGACATGTAATCAAAACTTCAGCTTTTCTAGCAAAGCGTGTGTGACAATGGCTTGCAAAAATTTTGAAATAGATATTTAGAAATACAGTTTTTAAAAATTCTCAGATACCTTTCCATCGCTTTGTAACCAGTGTTTCTATTGCATCTTTTACTCCTTTTCAAAAAAAAAATGAGTGAAAGCTCATTCTTCCCATTGTCTGAGTGGCCTCACTCATCTGTATGTAGGTTGGTTTGAGGAGTAATGGGGCTTGAGAAACAAGCTGGGTAATTTCAGCCAGTTCTAGGCAGGGTTTTTCAAAATTGTAATGGTGACTACAATCAAAGCTGGGTTAGTATATGTGACTTTCAGCTAGCTTGGTTGAATGAATCTCATGTCAGACCCTCCATACCTATAGAGATTGTTAAGTGAATGCTGGGCATGTGTTGTTTTTTTAAAAGATTGAGGCTGTTTTTCCTTCTCTACCCTCAACCCCAGTCTCAGAAAACCACGGTGAAAACAAGATCTTCCATTCAGGGCCTGTGGTGTGTTCCTGAAAAAGTTTTCTGTGAAAGTAATTTATTTTCTGTTTTACATTTTAAATTTCAGTATCTGGCCCTCAATTCCTCATTTACAACATGAGAAATTTTGGACTATATTTAAAGGGTCTAAAAAATTCTGTGATTCATATGGAAGAAGAGGAGGCCAGAGGTTGTGATCACAAATGTTTATTGATTCTGAATTTAGAAGCAAATTGCAGCTGTTCTGCTTCCCAGCTGAACTTGAACATAGCCTGTATTTCACATCTGGGGGTAATTTGTTACCACCTCCAGAGCTGGCTTCAATGAAATACGAGTGTTCTTTCGGATAACAGGAGTATTTCTTTTCATGTAATAAGGAAAGATACTTGATTCTTTTATTTTTTGAGTATACTTTATCATTCCTTATTGGCTGAAAAATCTAATACTTATCAAGCTATTAGCTTGAATAGTCAAAAGCAAACCCAGAAGATATTTAAGTTTGTTTTTTTCTTTACAGTACTCTGCCAAAACTGGGGCTTTTTTTT